CGATTCAATCAAACGATTGGGATTATTCAACCAGGTACAGCTCTACGTCGACACGCTACTTTTAGTGGAAAACCTAGTGATAGACATACGCGACTATATCGACAAATACGACTTTTTATGTATAGACAAGAAAGGTTGGAAGCGACAAGCAACAAACTTTGTCACTGGAACATTACAATTTTGCAAAAGACACAAGTGCAGCCCAAGAGCACGTCTATTTTGCGCCTACGACAATCCGTTAGCATTGCTTTTCTCGATACTACATCTAACCTAACTATACCGATCAGAGCTTGGGGCTCCATAGCGAAGACGTACTATGGATATCCCACTAAGGCCGTGAACAGCAATAATCATCAAAATGATGCCATCGTTACCTTGAATGCTGATGCTGTGACCACAACTGACATACAACTCGTCACAAATTGCTCCAAAGGAGGACTGTTTTTGGCCATCAATTCCAAATACGAATTCGTGGAGGCTTGCATAGAACAATACTGTGTTTTCTTTGAGCAAGTACCCACCCACGACATAATATTCCCAGACTCGATCGTCCTGTACGACTACACTGTCACAGTCGCTGTCTGGATCAACTCAAAATCCTACACAAGAAAGGTACACTGCAAGGTACATCCAATATGCGAGATGCTACTATGCTCCTTCTGTCTAGAACGACTCTACAACACACAGTGTTGGACACTGACTGAGATGGCTCTCGCTTTCGCAGGCGCATTACTCATTCTTCTCATATTACCATGGATACTTCTTATCATAAAGATCGTCGCCTTCTTCCTAGGAATCATACGAAACCTCTTGAAGTGCACTTATTACTGCATGAGAAACGTTTTATCCGTGAGACGCCAATCGGAATTTCAGCCATCACGACACAACTTTCCTAAATACGTCAGCAAACGGCAACGAATCAAGAAAAAATTGCTGCTTAGCCTTCTCGTTTCGTTGGAAAAGTTACAGCACACACGAGGATGCTCACAAGTCACCTCTATCACCGCTACCGAGAAAGTTTGCGTCGTTTTCAATCAATCCGAAACATGCACCTTTGATGAAGCCACAATCATGACACTCCAGCCTCTATCGCAAGAGACATGTCACACATGTCACGCAAGAGACATGGGTGTTCTCGTAGTGTGGTCAGGTATTCGGTGGTCCATCTTTGCCAAAAGTTGGAAATGAATTTGTTTGTACGACTCCACTCCGCCAGCAATGTTGTGTGTGTTGTCGGGTACGGTATCCAGTCGTCTTCTTGGTCCTTTGAATAAATGCTGCTGAGTAAGGTATACGGTCGAATGAAATCGATTGGACGTAATGGCAAGTATTTCGACTCGTCAACATAGTATGTGAGTGGTCTCGTGTTCACTATAGCCTCAGTTTCTTTGGCTAGTGTCTTGATGTCTTCAATGTCGAGCAAATTGTTTCCGATGGCGAATTTGTATGACTTCTTAAAGATAACTATCATTTTCTCGTACATACCTCCTTGCCATGGACTTAGGCTTGGAATGAATTTCATTTCAATTCGTCGTTCTGAGCAGTAATCGATTATGTCTGGATCATATGAGGTTCAGGGAGAGAAGTTAAGCAACGATTGATTGTTTTGAACGATTGAGCGTTATCGCAGATAATCCAAGATGGACGTCCCATGGTGGCAAAGAAGCGTCGCAGAGTGTGTAGGACGGTGTGCGCTGACATGTCGAGAAGAGTGTCTACGTATATGGCTCGACAATTCAAACATGTGAATAGAAGCATCCAGTAGTCTCCAATGGACTGATCTTGAGTCCTGTATGAAAGAGGTCCAAAGAAGTCCATGCCGGTGTTCTGGAATGGGTATTGAGGTGGTTTTACTCTCTTGTCTGGGTGAACGGGGAAGGGTGGAAGAACGTATGGTTTCGCTTGATATCGTTTGCACTGATAGCAGTCGCTGTGTATGATTTTCTTCACTACGGTTCGTCCTTGAGGTATCCATGCCCGTAGGCGGCAGAGTGTCAGGGTATGATTAACTCCGCAATGGTTGTTGACTTGATGAATGTGGAGCACAAAAAGTGAGGTTATCCTGTTTAGACGTGGCAAATAGACTGGAGTAATTGCTTCTGAAGGTAGATTAGCGTGGTCTATTCGGCCTTTACTTTTCCATAATCGAGTTTGGGCGCACTGGAAAAGATGTTGTTTTTTGTGTTCCTCGGGTGGTGGAGTCATCGCTTGAGCAAGACGAAATATAATAATTTTTGCGTGATTCAGACGTGTTGCCTTTGAATATCCAAATACCGTAGTCGTCCGTGGTATCTTATCTGTTATGAATTCCAGAACATACGCGAGGGTGTTTACTAGCTTGGTCCATGTGCTGAAACGTGACGCATCTATGACCATGTTGTTCCAATTGTTAGGACCGTCATTTTTGTTAGATAAAAAGACAGATGTGGAAAGCGGATTGCACAGAAATGTTTGAGACTTCTTCCCTTTTCCTTCTTTTGCAGTGTCTGTGTTGCTAGTTTCAAGAGTTTCCAATAAATTTGAGGGCCACGATTTTGGTTTCTCCATGAGGAATTTTGGTCCGTTCCGCCACTGCTTAAACTTCAGCAGCTCCTCAATTGCAGCTCCTCGTGTTCCTACATCCGCAGGATTGGGTTCACCGGGAATATGCCTCAAAATGACATTTGTGGTGTTTTCGAGAATAATCTTTACACGATTTCGGACGAAGACGGGAAGATCTCTATTGCTTTAGCCCGAGCAAGAGATACGATGCTATCGGTCCAAAGATACTTTTTAGAAATACGGAGGTCGAGTTGCTTCGTGACGTATGTGAGAAGTTTTGCGCCAATCATCAGTGCGGCTAGTTCCAGTCGTGGAACTGTGATGGATTGATTGAGTGGAGCTAACCTGGATTTTGACATAAGTAACGATACCCTTGTGGGTTTGTCCGTGTGACGTTGTTCGATATAAGCAACGGCGCAATAGGCGTTAGCTGAAGCATCGGTGAATACGTAAATGTCGAAATCCGCTGAGAAATCATTCGGATCGATGAGCAATCAATCTTGGTATAGTTAGTTCTGGTATTGTCCAGGAAGAGATTATTTGATGCCACTTGTCGTATTGCTTGTTAGGTAGGGGTTTCATCCCAAGATAAGTCGATCTTCCAGAGTGATTGAAGAAATAATTTTCCAATGAGAAGGACCGGTGAAAATAATCCGATTGGGTCGTAGATCTGAGCGATATATTTCAAAACTTTCCTTGTCCATATGAAGTTGCTCTTAGGTGTTTCAGGCAACAAAATGATAAGTGTATCATCCTCTGTGTTCCAGTGTAGTCCAAGTAGTTTCTGTATTTGTTGAACTTTACATTTCTCGTTCTGTTCGAAGAACTCATTCAATTCTTTTGAGTTGCTCGCATAGGCTCGTAGGTTCATCCGGCTGCAAGGAAAAGTTCCTTCGATTCCCTGTAAAAGGTGACTCCGTCTTTGCTTGTTTCTACTCCATGAAAGATATTATCAACGTAAGTGTTTCGAAGAAGATGTCGAGCTACATTCGTGGTAGTCGAAGAAAGGTGGAAGTGTATCGTAGCAGCCAAGAGAAACGGGGAACAAATAAGTCCAAACGGCAACGTGCAAAACGATATGTGACTAAATTCTCGGAGCTTATGGACTTCATTGGATCGTTCAACCACAGAAAACGTGTGTAATCTCGAGAGTCTCCGTGTAAGCCAACCATAAGGAAGGCTTTCTCTATGTCGCTTGAGATTAGAATCTTGTAGAGTCTGCTCCGAAGAAGGATTCCAGTGAGATCTGGTAGGAGTACTGGTCCGCGATGCAAGATGTCGTTGATACTGAGACGTCCTTTTAGTTTGGCAGATCCATCAAATACGCACCTTATTTTTATGTTTTAGCCGTCCTTCTTGACAACTCCATGATGTGACAAATAATGACAAGAATTTGTAACATCATTGGTCGGTACTCGCTCGATGATCTGCCTCTGTAGTTGGTCTTTGAAAATCTCATGATATTTCTGAAGGTAAGCAACATTCTGTTGTAGAAACCTATGCTGCGCGCACAGGCGCGAATACGCAAGAGAAAAGTTGTTGGGCAATTCGAATGGATTCATCTTGAATGGTAATTTCACTACGTACCTTTTCTGTGTCTCATCGTAGTAGACAGTATCGTTGAAGTGTTTAAGACATTGTTCACCATCTTGTTGAGAAGGGTTGTCCAGTATCCCAATTGTTTCAAGTCTCCAGAAGTTGTTGACCAATTCAACGAGTTCTTCGTGATTCGTAGGACTTGACGCATCGTCCATGTCAGTAGTGGAGTTGACGGCAGTGCATGTGGTGTAATTTTTTGCTTTGAAAGCTCTCCCCACAACCATGTCTCCGATAGCTGTATGCAGAATTCGATAATTTTTTGAGAGGGTTCTGTGATGGAAGTCTTCTGATAATATAATGTCCCAGAAATAATCATTTCCAATAAGAATGGACGGTTTGCAGGCATAAAAGGTGACATTACCCATTGATCCTTCCGGGATGTGAATGCGTTGGAGATTTCCAGTGAGCAACGGCACAGATTTCACCTGGAGGTGTTTGACTCCCTTTTCGGTATACAGGCCGATTATGTGATTTCGGCATTCCAGTTCCAAGGATTCGACTTTCCCAAAGGTGGAGAGGCTGATATGTTCGGTTCCTGTAGTAGGCAAATGAAGGATGGTAGCAATCTCGTCGGTGATGTATGACTTGTTGGAGCCGCTGTCAAAAAATGCCGTTACTGTCGCTTGATGCGAGTGGTCATTTGGATTGAAGAGTGTTACAGTTGTGCACATCAGTGCAGTCTGATTTGTCATATTCGTTGCATTGTTGGTTGAGCAAGCGACAGGACATTGTAGGAACGTCGATTTGCGAGTCAATTGGCTGTTCCTTCGGATTAGAAGAAGAGTTAACAATCTCTTTTTTCTGTTCTTCTAAGTGCACTGTATGGTTCTGCAGCCTCGATGGTCGGTTTGTAGAAGGCGTTACATTGTGGCGGCGTGTTGATTGCGTGGAAGTGTGCTTGTTATGACTAGGCGATATGGAAGCCGTCTGAGAGCGATTCAATCGAAAACATAATGAAGAATGGTGTTTTTTAGAGCAAAACCTGCAACGGAATTTCGACGTACATTCTCTTGTACTGTGAGAAGTTGAAAGACAATTGAAGCAAAGTTTCCGTCGTTTTACTTGATCGATGCGCTCCTTTGCTGTGGGGAAGGCATCACACTCTGTTGTTGAATGAGCAGTTGAATCGCAGAACTGGCACTTACGATTGTTTTTCTTTTCACCTGGAATCTCGCATGGCCGTGGTATTTTGCTGAGTACTACATGGAATCCTTGAGTTGCATTTCTTGTATGGGTGGGAAAACGCGCATGATATTCCATTTCGAACAGGGTAGAGTCTTTTCGAACGATGTCCGTTAATAAGTGGAGTAACTCCGAGGGGGAAACGTTGTGATCGTTTGCAGTGCGGTCATATACCAGACTTCTCACCCGCAAAGGTAGTTTGTTGAGAAGGAGCGCCCCGAGGGCAGTCTCAGAGGAGTCATCATGGTTGTTTGCAAACTGTCGGACGAGAGAAAACATTTGGTTATACAGGATAGGTAGATGGCGTCCTTCAGGGTCGCAGGGCGGTAACTGTGCCAGTTTAGTGAAAAGGATGTGCCTGACAGTCACCTTGTCATCATAAAGTGTCTTCAGTATGTCCATGGCAATGTGATAGTTTTCGGCCGTCATTGAAAGTCTTTGGATCGATTGTAATGCTCTTCCGCGCAGGCATGATTTCAATAGTGAGAATTTCGTAGTGTCGTCAAGTTGGATCTTGTTGGCGACAAGTGTTGAAAAGCGAGCATTGAATTTGGGATAGTCCAGCAGGTTGCCATCGAAGGTTGGCAAATCCAATTTTGTCAGAATTGAGGCATCTACAAAGTTAAGTAGAGATGCATCTGGAGCAGAAGTTGCTGGGTGAGTAAGGCATCCTCTTTGATTTGCAAGGCTATCACTGTGGACTTCGTCGTCCTCTGCGTGTGTCCCATCAGATTCGGAGGGTGGATGAAGTTCCCGTTTTACGTATTCTGCGTCAAGAACATTCAGAATAGCATCAAACTGTTCGAGGTTGTTGACAGCGAGAGCAATGTCTGCACGATAGCCTCCATTCTTCGTGATGTAATCTTCAAAGACCTTTTGCTCGAGTGGGTTAGAGTCTTGAAGTGTTGTCCATTCGTCGTGGAGCTTGGCAATTTTATTGTAAGTCTTCAATAAGTTTGTCTTCGTGGACGTCAATTCAAATCGGAAAGATTCCAGATCGTCGTTGTTCAAATGGCTTACAGTAGGTTGAGATGGTTCAATTCGGTACTCCTTGAAGATATCAGTGGCTGCAGAACAGTATCGTTGCAACTGTTTTTTGAAGAAACCAATTTGTCTCCGAAGAAGTATACTGTCAGGAATTGGCATCTCTTGAGGCGGTTTTTCTTGATGTCAAGATTTGTGTCGATGATTAGCGGCAGTGAGCGATAGAAGAGAGTGGCGACGAGGAGTTTTTGGACTTGAGCTTACTATGGTGGAGGAGGTGCAGCCGCACGGAAAATGTGAGGGAATGGCTGTTGAAATCACAAAAATTGCATAAGATTTGGATAATTGAGGTAATGGGGAAGTTTTCATGAGTTTGCGTATGTCTCCTGAACTGCATACACAAGATGCTTTCTGTAATCCGTTGGTGCATGTGCATGCTTTGCTGGCTATTATTTAACTGGTTTCTAGCCATCAGAAGAATGTAGCAAGTATGTATAGATATCCGATGAGGGAAGTATATACATGAGAAAGTGGAAAATTTGCAGAGTTGTTTTTTTTCCAAAATGTGGAATTTGGTGTACTATTCACTTTAGTTGATGCAGTTTTATGAAAACTTTAAATAGCTTGCAAAAGCAGCCTGAAGTGGTTCTGTTTTTCATTCCAACCTAAGCCATTGAAATGGTGCCCACAAATTAGAAAATGTCCTTTTAGAGGGCGAATGCCATGCAGCCATTTATATCCTTGTAGGCCACCTTATTCGATGCTGCGCAATTTTGAGTGGAATACTTCTCGTATTACTACTTAGTATAGCCGTATTTGTGAAGGGCTGGCGATAGTCAAGGGGTATTCCACCGATGGAAAGGATGACGTTGCTGACTAAGAGGATTTCGATGACGTTGACGTATTAGCTGCAGATTTGGCGCGGATCAGATTTCACTCCGATCAAGAAAGATGGCAAAAACTTTAATCCGCCAGACATTACGATTGTTGTGAATCATTGAAAAAGAATATTGAATTGAATAAACAATTACTGGTGAACAAAAACATTAGAATCTAAAATAGGCTGTTGACAATTAAGTCCCACACGTTCCTGTAATTGACAGATTCAGGAAATTAGCGCAGATTACCGCGATTTTTTCCATATAAGACATATTTATTCAACGTTGAAAACGTTCATTTCCAGTCTATACGCTCGCGAAGTAGTTGCAGGATCCTTTCTGTATATAACAGTCTTACTGTTCCTTACTATATGTAGAGAAAGTAAAAAGTTCTAAAAGCTCATTGATTTCCAGAATCTGAAACAATCTATCCTTGTAAGTTTTCATGCTCCTCAAGCCGTATTGGAAGTAATGAACGGAGAAAACTCATACAAAAGATATGCATTACTATTTGTTTATTTGTTTAATCGTTTATTTAGGTACTTATTTCAAACAACGCGCCAAAATACATTCTTAACGTAGACAACTGAAAAAGTATTCGTGTCAAAAAAAGGCAGACAAAGACACAATAAAGAAATCAAATATCTACGTTTTTCGAAATCTTTTCTGGATTTTATGGGCTTTGGATTATTTGGCACTGATTTAAGTTTCATTGTACCTGCACTGTATAATAATTATAGATAGATTGGTTGTCGCATAAGCCAATCCCAAACTTATTTTTCTTATCCCAATCACTGATGCCCAATGTCGTGTTGCATTCCTATGATGAAGCAATTTTTCGGGCTACGGTAGCTATACAATGAATGAGACGAAAACGAAAACCCCACTGCTCAGAGAACTTTTTCTTGAGGGCTGGGGAGGGTAGGAAAAAAGAAAAGGTGAGGAGAATTGTGATAGTGATAGCCCCCCAAAGAGACCTTTTTGGAAAGTTTCGGTTGGTATATGGTATTTCACACTTAATTGTGCAGATAAAGTTATTCAACCTCTAAATGACAATGTGCTACTCAACGTATGAAGAGCTCTTTGGAAATTTTTTTGAGCAAGTGCGAGATCGTATATCTACAGTAACCATCTCTGAAGTGGTCATCTCTGAAGTGGTTTTGCTTTGAAAGGCTATGACACCTAAAGCCAGCTAGTCAGAAACCCCCCTAGGTGAAAATACACCAAAACGCGTAGTTTTGACCTTTTCAGTTCTGTGTGTAATATTAGGTTGGTGCAAAAGTTCTTTCCCACCAAATTCAAAACTTCATAACTTGTTGAATTCTCAACGAATTTACAAGGTCTGAATTTTGTATAAGAGAGGAACTCATGCTCTTTGCATCTATGCCTGAATTGTTTGTTAACGTTTACTGAAGGAGATAGAAGCTCAAAAACCAAACGTTCAAATTTGAATTTTTCGTGTAGGGTCATAAAAAATCGGAAACTTGCAACAAGAATCGGAGCAGTCAATATTGTAGGTTCTTTCATCAGCTCTTTCTAAAGGTGCAAAATTTGCGCTGATTGAGCGTCTCTATGAAAAGTTATGATTTCCCTGAAAAATGCCAAAATAAATCAAATTCGCCCTTTTGTATTGCTTGCTCGAAAATCATAACTTTTCATAGAGACGCTCAATCAGCGCAAACTTTGCACCATTAGAAAGAGCTGGTAAAAGAACCTATAATACTGACTGCTCCGATTTTTGCTGCAAGTTTCTGATTTTTTATGACCCTACACGAAAAATTCAAATTTTGAATGATTTTGGTTTTGAGCTTCTATCTCCTTCATTTGTAAACATTAACAAACAATTCAGGCATAGATGCAAAGAGCATGAGTTCCTCTCTTATACAAATTTTAGACCTTGTAAATTCGTTGAGAATTCAACAAGTTCTGAATTTTTGAATTTGGTGGGAAAGAACTTTTGCACCAACCTAATATATTTCAGACATCTCAGACCCTTAAAAAGAACTCTCCCAATATAGGAGGAATTAAGAGAACTTGAAAATTAAACCTTTTGTCTTCTTATAAACCATGTTGAAAGGAGAACTATTGCTCCGGAAAGTTAACTTGAACTTTTCAAATGTTTTTGTCACGCTTTAGCGATTATGATGAACTGTTCTCGTTTAGCATAAAACTTTTCGAAGGTCTTTATTCCTTTTTTAACTTTTTCTTCCTTAGATGATTTCCGACATAATGGTCAGGCTACCATTCTGACTTCGAAAAACGACACCAGCTTTTTTCAATCTGTCAAAATCGAGGTCACAGCTTTTTCTCAAGAAAACGGATAATTTTACGTCAATGTGAAATTTGAGACATTTTGGTCGTATTCATCCCTGTTTTCTCAATGCCCACGGCACGCGCCCCCAATATTTATTCATCCATTGACGTAAAAAATTTTCTTTCTGTGATGATGAGAAAATTCGCGAGCTTTCTACGGTGCATTATATCTTCCATGACCCAATGTCCGGACAAAAAGCGATCATAACGTACACAAAAAGGGTAAGAGACGCCTATGAGCCGGCGTCTCAAATAGCCGAGCCGCGAGCTCTCCTCCCCGTTCTTGTCGCCGGCTTCACCTCGGCCTCTCCTCGGTCGTTGCCCACGGCACTTCTAGCGTTTCAGACTTGCTGTCATGACGCCAACCACCAGTGTCTGTGTAGGATTTTCCCTATTATGTGCTCTATGGATGGTTAGTGATGCTACGGTGATACGTCGGGAACCTCGGGCCCTTCTAGCTGATGCCCTTAGCTGTTTTAGGTGAGCTTTTGTAACGATTAAAACTCGTAAGTACTTTTAAAAAATTTCAAAAATCGCTATCTTCTCCGATGTTCCAACAAATTTTATTGATTCTCATTCTACCAATCATGCGCTATTACCCGAAAAGTAAATTTGACATGATACGGCGATACAGTAAAAAAGGGAAAAAATCCAAAGTCTTTTTCTCAAGCTTATGCAGCTAAGTCCAACTTGTTTCGAACCTACAATTCAGTCATTCAATAAAGGTGAGCGATTCTGGAATTATATCCGTATTAAGCTTTCACTCATATTTTTATTATTAATATTATTATTATTAATATTTCCTTCAGTTTTACATAAGGCATGAGAAATATAACAGTTCTATGTACTCTTCATTCCTAGTTAAGCGAATAACCTTCTACATTACTCATGAGAATGATATGACCTTGAAATCTTACCTTATAAACGAAACCTAAATTAGCTTCAGGTCCACCCTTGTTGAAAAATTATTTCGGAGAACTGAAGTTAAGATTATTCGAAAATGAAACGAGAGGTGTTTGGTATCTAAAGTTCTATCAGCGATTATTATGAAATATGTTATGATTTTGAGGCATAAACACACCATTAAAACTGTCCTTATTGTTTTATAGATATACTAAATTTCTTAAATCATCATGATCAATCTACGAACTTGAGATTAAATACTTAGAGAAATTTAGTTAGTAAATCATCTAGAATTTGTAATCTATACACTAATTTGGAACTGAAAAAGTTAAGCATGTTCTTTATTAACTCGCTTCCCAAGAACCTTAACTTACATATTTTACTGGATATGCACCTATTTCACTCCAAAATAAACTTACTTTGTATATCTCGAAAATAAGTCAGACCTTCCTTCCATGCTGAGGAGTTCCGCGGAAGGTTTTTAATTCTCTATTTCGTCAAGGTAGGGACGAAAAGGAGTGTTGTGATTATTTACTAATAAAATCTCTTATTATTGCTTATTATCATTTCTCTAGAACTCTTTCAACTCCTAGTAATTTCTCAAAATCCTAGGTACTAGTGGCATTGCTTGTATTGAGAATCAGTTGGATGAGCCAAAATTTTGACTGCAGACAACGAAATGCGCATTTTCCTTCCATACAGTTTTGCTGCCATATTTTGCTCTTCTCAAAGTTTGAATTTTTCACAGTCAAACTTCACGAAAACTTTCACACGATTTTGCTTAAAACTGTGAGGGGCCACAAACCATCGGTTCTTTAAAAGACACAAATTTATACAAGTCCTTTGCACCTAAGTTCTGCCACAACGAAGCAAATGGAATAGAATCGCACCTTTGGAAGATATCCACCATGGCTTTGATGAAACTAGCTAGAAGGTTTGAAAAAAAGGCGCTGCATTTTCAAGATTTGCGCATTTATCTGAATGTTCGTTGCTTAAACTTTAAACTTCGTTATTCAACACATCTATCATTTTTTGACATCTCCATACTGTGGTCATTCATCCTTGACCATCTTCGGCCTTCTGACCGATGTGATTTCCCTAGAGTAAGGCAAACATCTGCGTCATCGCAACATTTGGCAATGCTTGCATAATGACGTTTAGTGAGAAAATAAAACTTGCTACAATTGAAGAAGCGTAGGAAGTATCGCTTTTTCAAAGAAGGAGTTTTTGAAATTTTCCGAACAGTTTTCTTAGGTAAACTGGATTACCCTAAAAGAGTTCGTCATGAAATTTTATATGGTCTAACGATCTCTATCCAATTCTCATAAATGTATATCGTTTCGACACACTAAAGCACCTAGGCAAGGTACTTCTTGTCATTCTTCTTTCTTTTACGTTTGATCCAGCAAATTTTCTTATTTTTCCTTTCGGAATTTCTGTACAATCACATACTGTAACTATCCTTGATACAGCAAAGGAATTCCGCTTCTCAAGTTTATTTTGAGCTCTATAATTGCCGATACTTCATTGTTGAATGAACAGTGCTACTTATTTAGTTTACTCTATTTAAGTCAAACAATACATTATCAAGTTCGTGCCAAAAACTTATTTACTATGCAAATTTTGTAAAAAAAAATGAAAGATTATAAAAGAAAGAAGAAGAAGAAAGAGAAAGCAGTGCAACACCGAAAAGTTTCCATATCTATCTTCAGTACTATTTCGCTCCATTATCGGAACAAGGGTTTTTCTGACGAGAGAAAGATGGTTGGTCGAATTGGCTTTTTGAAATGTGTTGTATACCATGTTAGAGGCCATAAAACGCTGATTTCAAGTCTGCCTTTCTTACCTGCGGCGCGTTCCTGGATGAGGAGTTATGAGCGTTTAAAAGAGCAAAAAATGAGTGATTTTCTGGGATAAAAACAGTTGCTAAAATTTTCCCAATGGTTGAATGGGACAGCCGGAGTGCGGATATATCTCAACTAAGAGTATTTATTATATAGAGTGCTGGAAAGATTACCATGGTCCATTTAATCGCTAGGAATAACGTTACTACTGTTTTTATATAATTTGCATATTCAATTTTTTCTCCAATAAACGCTCATAACTTCTCGTGCAGGAATGTACCGCAGATAAGTAAGACAGATTTGGAATCAGCGTTTTAAGCCCTCCAACATGGTGTACAAATCATTGCAAAAGGCCATTTCGACTGACCATTCTTTCCTTGTTAGATTTACTTTCATGCCTTTCAGCAAGTGAAGGGCAACTGGAGCTGCGTAAAGATCATGAGATCAAAGTCACATTTAGCTTTTGATCTATGTGAGAGAGGGTAATATTTCTCTTAGGCTATATGCCCATTACATACTCAGTATAGTCATTAAAGATTTGCAAATCTCTAATTTTGAGCTTATGCACAATTAAATCAAATCTGTTTTGTAGTATTCGTTCATTCGCTTCAATAATCTGTATGGTGAAAAGTTTGCAGCTTTGGCTTTTTGAATGCTGAATAATTAGATCATAGCACCAAACATCTTGTTAATCTCCTGATCTTGCATTTTCTTTTCAATTGGTCATGAACAAGACGTGGAAAAGGAATCTCATATCAGCTTTGCTACATTTCCAGAATTCGATATTCAAATAGACAGGTGTTACTTGCCACAAGCAGGTGACTTTTGAGATATCTTACGTGATTTTACGAAATTGGGTAAGGCTGCAAAACACTCGAGACCTGCAAAAAATGGATCAAGGGGCTCTCAAGATTTTTTCGCTAGGTAGTGGAAAATATGCTGCATCTTAGATGCTAAGAGGTTTATAGGGAAACAAACGACAAGAATTGGAATTCTATCTTTCGGTCCAATTCTACATTATCAGCCATTTTTATCTTTGCATCCTAACATGACTCATTTCAAAAGGAAACTATTTTTGTATCGAAAGCATCAGGAGTTAGAAAAAACTTCGCATTTTTAAATGACCTAAAATTCACGTGAAAATCCGAAGCTTGTTTCATACGTCACTTAGGAAATTCATTCACTATTGGAATTCATGTGAATCGCAAGCATTACGACTCAAATGCTTTGTCCTAATCTTTTAATTATTGTAGTTCTGCAATGTTGCTTTTTTGAGAAATGAAGGAGAGGGAAGGGTATTAAAAATGCTGCAAAATGCAGATTTGCAAGGCCATGCTGAAGCTTACGATAAGTGCAACCAACGTCTGGAACAATCTCACCTTTAAATCACTGTCTGGACCAGGGCTTGGCACGAAGGGGCTTTTGGGTAATGGGAAAAACAAATTCCTTCTTGACGTTCGCAAATTTTTACGAAGTCCCCTTTGACCTTAAACCCTAAACCTAAAAAACCTTCAAAAAACGAAAAGTCGACTAAAAAACTTTACAATTTCATGTCCTCGAAAACGATACCCCCTTAGCTTTTTGCCCCAAGAACGATACCCAGCTTGCTTACAAACCATGCCGAGCCCTGGTCTAGACATTTAGTTTCTTTATGCTAAAATGTTCAACAAAGATTATATAAGCCGTTCTCCAAATCACAGTTTGTATGGGTCGCGAAACTTTTGATTGTTGCTTACATCAACCATAAAAATGTGCAAGTAATTTGTTTATACTAGGTGGCAAACGTTCGTTGGCCAGTATTTTAAAAAATCATAACTTTCTTTCTTCATAATGGATTTTTACTGTTGTTTTTGTTTGAAAGGGGAAAACATGCTCTTTACAGCAGTTCCTCTGCCATGAATTATTATCTGAAAATTTGAGAGTTAGAAGCAACTAAAGGAAATTAGTCCAGATTTAGCTTTTTTCAAGTAAGGCTACCAAAAATCTTTTTGTATGATAAACAGAATTTAAATGTTACAGTGGCTCCTTTGCCGCCAGTAGTATGAGATAAATCAAGAGTTAGATAATGAAGAGAATTGCTCAAGTCTTGCAAACTTCAAAAATGCCCAAAAAACTTGAAACCGTCACATTTGCGACCGAAACAGTCATAAACAGGGTACCACATTCTCCTTCTAGCTAAGCAAGATTTGCGCCAATCGAGAGTATATTTGGTGGAAAACGCATATATGAAAATCTGAAAATCCCACGAAAATCGGAACTGCTCTCATTAGCGCAAACTTTGCTAAGCTAGAAAGAGGAGTTCCTAAAATCCATGTTTTTGACTGTTTTGATCTCCGCTGTGACAATTTATCAAATATCCCTACTAATTCATGACAAAGAAGCCAGTATAATGTGCAAAAATTTTTGAATTTATCAAACGCAAAAAATTTCTTGCTACCTCGCTCAAAAAATGCCAATCTTGGCTAATCTTTCAACTGCTTCTAATTCTCGAATTTCCTGATACCATTTTATGGCAAAAACACCGCTGTAACGAGCGTGGTTTTCTCTTTTAAAAAATGTTGAGAAGAATTATTGAGAAAAAAGAAAGTTATGATTTTTCAGAAATCGAACGAACTCTTGAGCTCAAGTACTTGTAAGTATTCAAAGTTTTTGAAATTTTTCAAAAGCTAAATTAACTTTGTGAAAAATTTTTTTGCTGACGCCAAGCACCTTCACTAGAGAACTTTTTTTATTGCTCTCTCTCTCCCCCCCCCCCCCTCCTCCGCCTCCCTCTCTCTCTTCAAATCTTGGGACCGGCACTATTTTTTAGGTTTGCAAAGAAAACCTTCATCCTTATCTCTCTTCGGCCATACTAGGTAAAAAAGCAACATTGCGCGCAAAGGCGAACGCTATTCCAAACCCATTAGCTCACGTATGGACACGGACTGAGTTTATATCCAGTACCAATGTATGCAATTACAAAAATTTTATCTTACCTACTCTCAAAAGATCTACGGACCATCAATATTTATGACAACTTTACACTTTGATTTTTTCCGGTCAAGAGGAAGTCAAAAAAGTTTCAAATCGATGATTTGCAGAAAACAACAGCTACGTCTGCTCAATGACAACAGTGACGACCTGGGAACACAATCAGATGACGACGATTATTGTCGCGAGTTGCTCAGCAAATACTCGACACAAGACATCAAATGTTTATTTTCGCCAATTGGTTGTATGTTCCGTGATTACGTACAAGATAGGCGGTGAAAACGAGTGAATAAAAACTTTCCACATTAATGTTTTTTTCTTTCTCTGGTAAGGTCGTTTATAATTTAGTTTGGCATTTGTGAGATTGCACACCGCGCGCGGCATCTCACAACTCTACTCGTAAAGAGTCAGTGTGAAAAACTTTTCAACAGGATCAACTAGTGGAAATAAGAAGGCTACATCTCTTTATACCTACTACGGCCAAAAAAAAGACGGAAACCAAAAGAAATTCAAGAATTTGGCAGCTTGTAAGTGCCCAAGTCGTGGAATACTGGGCATGTTGTGCAATACATACATTTCATATACAACTTGACTAAACATCATAAAGACCACGGTTTTTTTTGTTTGCGTGGCAAGAAACTCTGTCATTTGAGCTCTTTTCTACCCACGTGCCCGCTGAAAAAAGAAAATTTGAAATGTTTACATTTCCCGCAAGATTTCCCACACCTAAGCCCACTGCGTCAGAAGTCATGCTTTCTCTGACGTAAGCAACGGCCACAAAGAACCTCCATTTCTTTTACCATATCCCATTACAGATGATTCTTGGTCACCGGAAGGTTTGTTTCTGCAGCGATTTTCTGCGAAGACACGAGAATGTGTGTGTGGGACGCAAGTACACATCCGGCGTGATGTGCTACGGAAGTGACATGTGATTCGTGGAACATGCAACAAGTTGTTGTGGAAGAGTGCGCGTAAATCCGGCTCCAGAATTTTCGCAAAAAGCTGTTATTTCCCGCGTTTTTGCATGTTGCGTTTGAGAAGAGCAGTTGTAAGCAGCGGCTGTGGGACATGATTTTTCAAAGCGGAAAAACATGCTACAATCCATTTGTATGTACTCTCATCAAGATTTGGAAGTGTCATATTAGATATACAAGGTGTCCCAAAAAAATGTATCGAACGTTTGATCGTTAATATCTCTCTTCTAAATAAATCTTTTCCCTTGCTTTAGGTACCAATCTGTAGAGCTGGCTTCAACTTAGATTTGCATTATAAAACAAATCACTCATCTCTCTTCATTACTGTAGGATTACGGTAGAAATTTCAAAGAGGGTTTTAAGCAATGAAAGGCCATATTTTGCCCCAGAAAGGAAACAAAACAGCCTGAAAACTTTTACACTAGGCAATTAAAGTTGATGATTATAACTGTAAAGTTCCCAATTTATTATGATGCTTCATTGAAGAGTTATGCCAGGTAAGAGGTAACGGCCATTTTTTCAATGTTCCTAAAAAGTGCGGTTACACCGTTTAGAAAGCTTCGTAATCTTGTGAATAGTTGAGTATCGAACTCAGCGTCCATAAAAACCCCAATACACAAGTTTTCACATTTTTTTGAAAAAATTTGAAACGGCAGCTTTTTCCACATATGTCAAGTTTCTACCGTAATCCTACAGTAATGAAGAGAGATAGGTGATTCGCTCTATAAAGGAAATCTAAGTTGAAGTCAGCTCTACAAAACGGTACCTGAAGCAAGACAAAAGACTTCTAGGGAAGAGAGATATTAACGATCAAACGTTCAATACATTTTTTTGGGACACCCTGTACATACAGTCGTTTTCAATACGTATTGGTTTTTCTACCGTATGCCTTCCAGCCTCAACATGACGTGGATTGGTGTGGATTGGTGTGGATTGGTGCGGCGCCGCCGAGAAAAGCAACGCGGCGCCTCACCAATCCATACCAATCCACACCAATCCACACCAATCCACGTCATGTTGAGGCTGGAAGGCATACGGTTAAAAAAACCAATCCGTATTGGGGACAACTGTACACTGTTCCACAAATTTCCCTAAATCGTGTTCAAAACACCTGAACTTGAAAAACTTGAAAAGGTTCTAGTAAATACTCACAGGTATGTGAAGCACTTTAGATGGTGTAATTAGATTTTTGAGAATCGTAAAAAAATTTTCACGTACCAGGCCTAACTTCCAAACAAAGGTCCGCATTGACTTGCAACGTAGTCAGCAACTATACGTCACTCATAATGGAATTTTCGGTTTTTTGGAATCCTCGAAGCATAATTCGTTCATAAGGTAAAAGATTGGCTTCGAAATGAAATTCCTACCGTAACCCCATGGTAACAAGGAGCTCGCAGAGCTTTCCTCCTATCGTACTACAAAGTGGTACTTAGATACTGGCAAGACATCAAAAGGAGATAATTCAAATCAAACAGTAGAGATATTTTTTGGAACACAGGATACATGAAAGGACGAGAAGACATTCATTGACGTCATTTTCACCTCTACGTAACCTTTGATTTAACTGGCTTGGCGGCAGGAAGGCGGGGCTTTGTGACCCAATTAAGGCCGCTCGCACCCGCAACGCAGTCTATGTGTCTGCGTCTCTTCCGCGCGCGCTCTCTCATTATCTAGCCTTAATTAGTCACGAAGCCCCTCCCTTCAGTCGCCAAGCCAGTTGAACCAAAGGATAAGTCCCAGTAGATATACAGGCAGTGCTTCAGCTCAACTTCATTAGTTTGCAAAATTCTCCCGCTTTTCTCTTCTTTTCAGGCATTGATTTTTTTTCTGGGAGTATTTCTGCTAATACAAAGACAGGCTAGAGATTGGAGCGTTTCAATAAGGTTAGAAATTGTTCAAAAAATAATTCGCAAAAAATATAAAAAATTCATAGATAAGACTTTTTGTGTATGGCTTATTTATATCAGAAAGTTCCAACTCTCCTTTCAATCTAAAAATTGAAAAATTTCAAAGAAAAAACTTCACTACTTTAACTTCCATTCAATCTAAGAGCGGAGATATTATGCAAGAAAATGCACCATCAAAACCGACACAAGCATTTCCCCAGTCCTTATCAAGAAGTGAATCAGTAATACTACAAAGACGGCCAATCGTATGGAATCTCCGAAGACTAACTTCTAGGTTTGATTGCAAATGTTTATACATTAAAATACAGTAACGCTGATTATTCATAAGGTTTGAAAATAGTAGTTTTCTTTCTTGGTGGCGTGTGCTCCATATCCATAGAAGTTTCGGACTCTTCTGATCTAAAGATAAAATTAATGAAGCTGTTCGAGAGATTATTAACCTTAGGCTTTACAAAATAAGTCAGTTGCACGATAACTGCAATGGGTAACTGCAATGGGCCTCGGGCATAGTTCACGCGATTTGGTCGCCTCGCGATTCTCCCAACAAGACAACTGTTACGAGTCCATTACATGTCGATCACCGTGCATTTCGGTTGCGTAAATTGATGATTGATCATGTCGGAAGACTATCACAACCAAAATGCTCATAACAGTTGTCTTGTTGAGATAATCGCGAGGCGACCAAATGGCGTGAACTATGCCCGAGGCCTAAAGGGCCAGGAATACTTCACGCGATTTCAATCGCGACGCAATTTGGCAATTCGCCAGAAGTCTTCAGACCCAACACACTATCAAACTGCACATGCACGGTGTGCATAACATACGAGGATTGATAAAATGCCCTATCTTCTGTACATTTAGAATGTGCTTACAGGGAGTTATACAGTTGTAATATTGCCAAATCGCGTCGCGACTGAAATCGCGTGAAGTATGCCCGGCCCTCAAAAGAGCACGTTATCTTTACTTTCTAAACACAGTTAATTTATTGTTGTTTGTGAACTAAGCCGTGGTTGCTTGCGGTATGAGCGAAATTTTACAAGAGTGGGAGCTCTGCAAAACCCTATTTGCTAACCAATTGTAGAACTGACTTAAATATGAAAAAATTTACGACAGCAATTTGACAAAATTCTTGCACAGTTTGTACGACTGCACACTATATACACGTATTTTCATTTTGTATTTTTTGTTTTGGGAACACATCCTTCAACTGGGTGCCTTTCAGATCTTTTTTTCTGAATTTCGATCATTTCAAACAACAAGAAAAAGGATGTGATTCTGTAACTCAATCTGCGCAAAGTGGCCACTAATGAATTTTACGGGTAGGCAGTATATGTCGCCGTTAGGCTCCATTCGCCGAGGACAGCTGGTATAAATCCACAATGTGCTATGTATACGGCTGCGTGGTGTTCTAGATGTCCGTCTGAGATCACCTTTTTCGGTGACACATAGTGGTACCACATTCTTTACAGTGGATGTGCACATTGCAGAAAATCATGTGGAAAGACAAGCAGAAAAATATGTACTTAGCCTTTGATTCAACTGGCATCGCGGCTGGAAGGCGGAGCTTTGTGACCTTAGGTTAGCTCGCGCCTGCGACGCAATCTGCGCCTCTCCCGCGCGGTGCTCTCTGGTCATTACCTAGGCTTAACTAGGTCACGAAGCTCCGCCCTTTAGCCGCCAAAGCGCTTGAATCAAAGGGTAAGATTGTTACAACGGTTGGCTGATTTTGATAATTTTCTTTCGATCAATAAGGGATGAAGGATCTTCTCATCAACTCACCTAACCCTTTTCGGCATGGGTGGTTGCTCGTCCTCTTCCCTTTCCATTGACGATCCGCTACTTTCTTGCTGAGTTCGTCGCCACTTTGCTCGTCTGTTGGAGAACCAGACCTGCACTTTTGGAAGTAGGAATAAAGAAATTTTAGAAAATCGTTTGTTTTGACAAGAATATGTTCTTTTGACCAATGCTAATGTGCAATTACACACAATGCACACCGTGCGCGTCATATGATGGACTTGGTAACTATGAACTGCTTTTTGTTAAAGTGTTTCAGTCGTTTTTCTATTTTTTTTTACTTTCCTGACATCAAAAAAATTTGTGAGTTGTTTGAAAGAAATGCTGCAAAATGAACAACATGATCCAGGGTGTGACGCGCAATGGATGCAGTGCGTGCAGTCGCACACATGAGAATACGAAATGACTGAAGCCTTCAGAAAATGATTTGATCTATGAAATTAAAAGGCAGCTGTTACTGTTAGTAAAACATACCTGTATTCTAGCTTCTGGCAACTGTGTCTTCTTTACCAATTCCATGCGCTGTGCTATGCTTGGGTACGGCTCTTTAGCGAATGAAGTCTCTAAGAGTTCAAGTTGCTCTATAACAAATATTTTCGCTACAAATTTCTGTCAGAGTAACCTCTGGTATCCCTTGACACACCTTGTGAGAAGCTGCTTCTTCCGCATCTCCTCAGATTCCCGTCGTCTTCGCTCATCGCAACGGTTTCTGCTGGTGATGGTGGTGCCATCGAAGAGTAAGCGGAGAGAAGTGGCAGTGGAAGTGAGGGAAGCGGAGTGTTGAGCACAAATCCTACAAAGTTTTTATTCATGAACTTTCTGACTGCACCCGAAACTCTACGTTGTTTGAAGTGCATAGACATACTTACCAGGCCACACAGCTTGCGGAAAGCTGAATGGAAAATTTGGAGGTGGTAGTCCTATTTGCGGTATTCGCGAGGAAAGTCGCTGTTGGCTGAAAAAGAGTCATTTATGTTATTTCTCTGTAACAAGGCTATTTATTAATACACAAGCGAATATGCCAAAACAATTGACAATCCAAAACCCAAACAGATGCGCGTCTCGCCTATCCAGGTATCGCTACCATAATCTAATATCGGAGTTAGTCGAGGTAATGTAAGTTCGTGTAAACGTAGCTTCCGCTTTTTTTCAGTTGTCTCCATTTCCCACATATGTTTCTTCTCACTCCTTTTCTAACTATCTAACACTTTTTTTATTACATACTGAATTAGCGCGACTTCAAATTACTTGGAGGAAACGTATACAAACTTATAAGGAAATGGTAAAGCAGAAATAGCAAAAAGTGCTTGTACCGAAATTTTGCACAATTACTGCACCCAGAATTTCCGACAGAAACCTCAAATGATTACATTGAAATGACATAAAAAGTTCTTTAAACCCGGTTCTGTTAGGCATTTCCGTACTCGAGGAATCTGATTGGTTCTCTTAAGAGTGTGGTAGCAATCATTGAAAAAGGACTCTGCAGCTAGCAGGTGAAAAGAAAGTGCTAGAACTTACCGAATTTGCCCGAACGTTGCCTCTAACCTCTGTGAAGTTTCTACCTTTTGTAAAGCACTTGCCTGGCCATGTGCTGAGCGTTGAGTATCATTGTCAACTCCTCGGCTGCTCTTTCGGCGGCTCTCGTCCTCAAGATCCGATTTATCGACGAGACCGACGGCGGTGTTGAGCAGACGGCTGAAAAAGCGAGCCATTTATAGCCGAACCAGTCCTTCGGGTTACGGTAGCAATGTATAAAGGGATCTGCAATTGTAAGAGAAGCGCTTTTTGTACAAGCAGCGCGAGTCGCATCGCCCCTCTTCCGATGCGACTCAAGGTGAGTGCGAGTGTGTTGCCGGGTAAACAAACATCGGGCGGCTCGAACACGACTTGCACCGCGGGTAATTCAAAGCGTGAAATGGATACGGTACTCGACCGCGACGCTTGTCAAGTGCGAATCACACAACGATCCCTCAGCTAATGCACAAACAACTCCGAGCACTCATTGCACACTTTGGCCCCAAGATACCGTACGCGAGCGACAGCGCCACCCGCTGTGATGCGCAAAGATTCGCGAACAATTGAAACAATATAAAGCTGTCGCTGAGACGACTGTTGACACCGACAAGAGCCAGCCAGCGGCTCGAATAGCCGACTTTTGACAGCTTCCGAAACATACAAAGCGCGCACTGCTTTGTAGAAAGAATAAGTTGTAAAAAACTGATGAACCACGAACGTTTACATCTTCCTGATTTTAGACCGCGTGATTATTGCTTGTGGGGCTGACTTTGTCGCTTTTTCTCTACGATAAAGTAAATTACTTCATTCCTCTATTCGCACTATTTCCTCACAGAAAAATTTTTTTTAGTTGAGAGGGGAACGGCGAGAATCAGCTCAGTTATGAAGCTAAGGTTTTTATAGCTATCAAAGTTTTGTAACCACTTAGCAGGTTTATGAGCCCGGAGATAAGAACTTCATTGTAAGGACATATGCTACAGTGATTACTGATCGCATTCTTAACATGAAGAGTCACATTGGCTGCTTGTTATAGAGATAAAAAATGCGATGACATTGTCATAAAGTCCATCCAATCATCGCTATCCCCTAACAGAAAAAAAAATGCTTGATATCCCAATTCCATTTCGTTCTTTCACTAAACGTAAACCATCCACAGCAAACTTTATCTAGCGTGCTTTTGGCATACTTACGACAAAGCAAGACTGATGGTTCCTAGCACTATTTGAAAAGTTGGTTTGCGCTTTATAACTCAAGAGTTCACATTTGGAATGGTCTTCAGACAACAATATATTCTTTGGCCTTTATTCCTGCATCTCTAATAACTGGGCTTTCCACAATCCTGCATCTCTAGTGGTTAGGCCTTCCCTCAGTTTCACATGAATTGAGAAGTCAGCGTTGAAAGATGAGCAAAATCTCATTTCTCCCAGTGTTTGATTAGAAAGAAAAGGAACTGAGAAGAAGCCGAAAAACAGAAGTACCGTAGTTTAGTCGTCAAGACCACAAAACTTAAATTCAAGTAGTCAATATTCACCAGTGCATGCGATTTGCGCGGATCGTTTCCAAGAGCAAGCCCGGTTCAAAAATCAGCCGCATGCCCAATTTACTGAGATTACGTCTTCTTCGAATATGGCTCGCAAAGTAGGTCAAAATTATTAACGAACCTTCATTGATAAGTCGTTCTCGTATCTCCCAAGCAAAAATGGTCGGATTGTCTCTTTTGTATTGCTCGATCTTCGCAACAACTTGTGGAGTTGCCACCTAAAAGTGTAGGTATTTCAAGGCTAGTTTGAATAGCACTGAAAGTAGCTGAAATATGCACACATTCGTCAGTTATCCAGAGGAAAATCAGCTCAAAACACGAAATTAATCCATGGTGATATATTCCTTTATAAACGCCTCGTCAATGAATTTTGGGTTTTTGCTTCGTCAAGTGCATCTTTAGGGCTTTATCCGCATAAACAACCTCATATAACTCAAAAAATTTAGGGGCAAAGAAATTATTATCTTTGCCTACCCTTCCTTCTGTCTTTGATGCTTCATTTCTGGCTACATCAACAGTGGCTTTGATTTTTCAATTTCAATGCCAAGGATAAACTGATTGAACAGAAGACACGAAAGGGACATCAAATAAGCGAGCTGTTATCACGATACCGTACTTGCTACTTACCTTTGGCTTTGTGCCAGCTCCTCCGGGTTTCTGATGCGCAACATCGTCGGGCATTGTTCGATTTATTCTCTGCATCAGAACACTGAACAGTTTCAGAAGTTTTGAGCTAATCTGGCGTGACGATGGATTGCGTGACAGAATAGCGCTACAGTCGGCTGAGTTAAGCAGAGCGGCTGCGCGGCTACCGTAGTCGTCTGGCGACTAACAATGGAGGGGCGGCGCGGCTAAGGGGCGAACTGTGACCGGATAAAACAATAGAGACAACGGCTGGTTGACGACGATTTGTCTGTCGGTATTTGCTGCTAATGCGGAGAATATGGAGCTAAAGGATTAGATCCACTGCAGACCAATGGTCTGAGAACAGGGGATTCTTGAGGTTTAAAATTGTAAGTGACTTGTAATGACTACATAGCCATAATGAGTTTTTTAGGCCGTTGAAAATTTGAGTAGATCACTTCTTCCAAACGATACAAAAGATTTGGAAAAGCCACAAGAAAACGAAGCGCGATTTTTATAGCGAGATAATTTTTATTGCCAGTTAGCGCAGTTTTAGTGTTTAATAACGTTCTAGAAGAATTGCAAGGTTCTGAAGAGATAAGCAAGATCGTTTTCAGGGCTGCTCGACCTTATATCTTGAGATAGATTTAAAACATGAATGTTGGACTCAAAAATCCTCGAAAATGCAACCCATCGCAACTTCGTGAATATTTCGAGCACTTTTTCACCAAAAGCTGTCAAACTTCGGATAGTTAGCAAGCTAGAGCACTTCCTAGTTCTTTTCTGAAGACTCGCATAGCTCTGATTCGGATGTTGTATTGGTGATCTCTCTTAAAAAAAATCGCGCCTCTTGACCGTCCCCCAAGAAGACGCTAAAGTAGTTTACTCTAATTGAGAATTGGGGAAAGGATTGGAAGAAATCAGAATCGAATGATGCTATTAAAGAGAAAATATGGTATTGATTGATAGTAATTCATCTAAGTTTTCTGTTCTCGAGACAGAATGAATTGAGAAAAAAAAGAAATAGGTTGGGAAAGGACTTTTTATACATTAGCAAGATCATTGTGAAGAGAGAAAGAGAGTGATATCTATCAAATTTTACTGCGGCGCTCTACTGCTCTAAGTTGCATTGGTGAAGAATAGATATGAGTAGGATATAATCAATTTTATTATTCTTGCTACTTCTTTAAGCACTATACTTGCTTGGAAAAATAACAACAATTTAGTAAAGTGGATCATTCTGCAAAGAATTCGAGCAGTATTCAGAAAAGTTTAGAGTGTCTGGTTTTCGGCTGTAAAAATCAACTCCAAGCTTCAGTCGAGGCCTACTCTCCACCGTATCTGAGAGCGCTGGTAGGTCCCCTTGGAAAAAGCTGCCGCCTGGACAACGGCTCGACTAAGGTGTCCTTATCAATACCGTATAAGAATTGCACGTACAAAGACTTGCTCGCGCATTAAGCTTTCAGAGGGGGGGGGGGGGGGTAAGCGCTACAGCAGTATTCTGTGAGAAGACTCTTTACTCATACGAAAATTGAAGCAGGTGTTCACAGACATGCGAAATATTCTAGCGGAGAATTACGGAAATTTGCCGAAGTTGCGGGTTCAGGCTCATGCTGTCTAATTTGCCTTATTTTGTAATGGAAAGAATGACTGACATGTAAAAATTGATTTTTAGTGAGCAGAATCCAGAAACAATTTTTACTGGACGATAAACTGTCGAAAGGACTCCGCAAAATGCTATGCCGCTCTGCAAAAGCGCATGTTGACTATAGCGGAAACTTTGAAAAAATGAAAAAAAAATGAAAAATGGTCACTTTTGTGTAAATCGGATATTGTCATAAATGACATGTCAACAGGTTCAAAAAATTCGAAATACCAAAGCCAAACCTTTGAGAAATGTCAAGTGGGCGAGATTACCATATGCATGTCAAAGGCGCTGAAGGGCGCGATTACGGTAAGAGCGGGAGAGCAGCATTACTCGGTGAGAGCGTGTGTCTAAGTGGTTTGGTAGGATTAGAAGCCAGCCTTTACATGCGACGACCCTCTCGAAGCAAAGCCTACCGCCACTCGCTGGTAGCAGAACACCTCTCGAGAGCTCTTTTGTGCGGTTGCGACGAGAGCACCAAAGCGACGACGATACTCTCACTCGTCGTGTTAGCATAGTGTCGCTTAGCACAAAGGTGATTGAGCCGGGTGTAGGAATGTGTTGAGGGAACCAGTGAATAGTTTACACTGTGAGATTGAGAGGGAGATGGTTTCTCTTTCAAGCTTTCAAACAACTTTTCTAGTCTCAAAATATAAAAATATATAAATCGAAAAAATGAGATTTTTTGTACTACAGCGGCTGACAGTCAGCCACAAATTGAGACCATTTCACAGTTTTGCTCCAAGTTGATAGCGAACGCTCATGAAGCATGTGGTCTCAGGATTGAAATTTCCATCTTTTAAAAATCAAAATGCTTAGCATTGTGGAGATATTACCATCAGAATCTAAACATTTCAATCATCCTGCTTTGGTGATCTGGTGGAATGGAGATTATAAGGTTACTCGAATCTGAGGATTTTGTGAGCAACTTACACAGCAAATACTAATCCCTTTAGATCTCATATGTTAGTTTTTTAACATTGCACTAGGAATTTTAGAATGCCTATTTCGTTATAAATTCATAGGTGTTTTCGCAAGAAAAATGGCTGCAAACAAAATGATTACGATTTGTGAAGGACCAGGTTTTTCTTCAGCTAGTATAATCTCTTGGAATTATAAGCTTACTTGTTTTCATATAATTCGATGCAAGACTTTTGTACCAGGATAATTAGTACAATATATAAAAGTATCACTCAAACAATTTACCGGAGCTTCCGCAAAACGTTTGGGAAAGCTCCGCCTTATTACCCGCGAAGTTCTGTAAACGTGCTGCGGAAGTTCTCAAATGAAGTGAATGTTACAACAGCAAAAGGGAATACTTAAGCGAAATTGGAACATTGCTCTAATTGACTGAGAAACTCATTTACTATCCTCACTGTGAAAATTCAACAATGCACTCCAGCAGCTCCAGCTCCAGCAACAATGCAGCTCTGCTGGCGAGACAACGCCATAAGAGACAGCACATTCAAAAATCTGCGGAAGTACTGGCAAAGTGCTGTGGAGCTGCTGGCATTTCTGAATTTTTCGGTTTTCTTACAAGTTCCGTGAAAATTTCCGTTTTCAACCAGTATGACGTGAACATCCTGCGGAATACTCATTTTCAACTTCTGCATTTTTGTAATATATAGTCAACAAAGATAAAGTCAAAACAAATTATGCTTGTGCTGCAGAATCTCCGGTGAATTGTAAAAATCTTCAGCGGTATCATAGTTTGGAAACAACATCACTGCTGCGCTAGCAACACAGTTGGCATCAAAAATAATAGGATGAACGTACTGACACCGAAAAATTTCTTGTAACTGCGCTACTGCAGAAATCTTATGTGAGTTTGAAAAGACTCCATCACTAGGCCGCTCATACACCGGGAAGCTTCCAAGAACTTTGACGAAAGCTTCGGCGAGTCAGCTGGGGAGCTCCGTGGTAAGTTTTTTATTTATTTATTTATTAGATACGCAAAATGCGTGCCACATGACCACAGTCAATGAAAAAACTCAAGATACATTCAGTAGTAAGGAAAACAGCAACACAAAAAAAACATCCGTTGAATCAGCTTAAGTCCAGCCCCCGAATGTTGTATAAAGAGAAGGGAAATAAGCTTGTTTAGACCATGTACGGAATCATGTCATAGGCGAAGAATCTCGATGGAGTCTGCCTCATGCCCCCTGCTTGCAGCACAAGTGCTCTTAAATCATTCGATAAGCAACTGTAGCTGGGTAGCGGGTATTGAGATTACGCAATGTACTGTATGACAAAGCCAATCCAACCAAGTATGATAGTATGACTAAGCTCGCCCAACCAATTTCTGGGGAGAGAGCAGAACTCCGATGGAGAGAAGATAGCAATATGCAAAGCGATCAAGCCTAACAAGCTGTTACTAAGGAACAACAAAAAGGGGGTGGGACCCAAGCCAACGTTGGACGAAGTGTAAATATAGTAAAAATCCGACAACCAAGGGCTCAAGCCGAAAGCGGGCCTACTTTGTCTAGGTCCTAAAACTAGTGTAGCCATGGAGAATAAATCAAACAGATAAAACTTGAATGGGGAGAACTATATGTATCAAATGCCATGTCTAATGAAGCCAAAGAAAAGAAAAGATACAGAAGTTGATATAGAAAGATTTTAATTCAAAATATCGGCAGGGGCAATCATTTGGTCCTCAGCAGGGAGTTATGGTTGCCAAGAGCAGGATTCGAAATACCGATGGAGATGAAGGTTAAACCAGCGCGATAAAACCATTGTTGCCAAAGGTACCATGTAGTAGATAGAAGCAGGCATTGGATAGCAGTGGGAGAAAGATAGACGTACAATCGCAGTCGGCCCATGCAGAAACCTAAATCAAAGCCACAAGGCCCAAGTGTTTACGACAAGTGGCTACTAAAGCCTCTTGGTCCCAAACACCCGAGCATTGCTGAAAGGTAATGTCAAGGCTCAGCCTTAAGACACTAGCGATAAGCGCTAGCACTTGGTCTCATGCAGTGAGCCACTAACACATTGAGAGTCAACCAAACTTGTCAACCTTGAATTGAATCATAAAAGTCCACATCATTCAATTTTGCTCGAAAAGAATAAGAGTTTGATGCACTGTGGACTTCTTTTGGTAGCCGTTGAAACCACCTTGCAGTTTTGCAAAATATGTTGTGATACATTTTCGATGAGCTATAATTCCTGATTTTACCATAGTGTAAATTGAAACCCCCCAGTCTTTCACTGATAGGCATGAAGACCCAATATTTGCTTGCCTTTAATCTGACTTCTTTTCTAACAACTTGGAAACAAAAAGTTAGATCAGAACAATTTCTTCGTCGAAAGAGACTCTGAAGATTGAGTGTTTTGAGACGAACATCATATTTTGGTGGTAAACGGTCAGGAAAGATTCGCCGATATAAAAGACGAGTAAATGTTCTCTGTACTT